CTGTAATACACATCACCATTGTAGCGCATACAAAGCGTCCACAACTTTATTTTATTTATTTATTTTTAAGTCAATGTGGTTTTTTGATTTTTTCGAAAAGTAAAATCGAATTCACATCCGATCAAGTCATTTTAAACTGATCGGTTTTCATATAATTTACCTGGCAAAGTCTCCGTGTCATTGACACACTGTCCGGGTCTGGGCTCCGGTACCTTGGTAGACAGTACTGGGAGCCAGGCTGACGTGGAACTGGCTTGTTCCTTGAATCGGCCCGCGAACGCGTGATCTATGTCCTCTAGCCGGAAAGTACATATGGCAGAGCCCATCAAACCGGTAGTGGACGTGGTGAACACGCCGTAGAAAAGTGTATCGTCGTCCGGCACCTTGTAAATGCTCTCTGTACACAACACAAAGTGTTAGTTTCGATTTCAGTCTTACTGAAGTAAGTATAATATACTACTTACGGATTTCGTTGAAGTAGAACGGGTATTCTCCGGGTATGGAACAGTTAAGCCGGGCCTTCAGGTACGTGGCCCAGTTGTGGCTAAGTATGCTCTTGCCACCCGTGTCCTTCTTGCACACCCTGGCAACGCGGGAAAATATGCTCTTGCCGCAGTTGATGTACTCGACGGCGGTCTCGCGGAAGAAGAAGAATACGTATTGGCCGATATCGTAAGAGCCCACAAAGTCTGGTTCTGTGAAATGGAAAAAAATTGTTTATATTTGCTGCTGTAGTCGATATGCTGTTAGCAATTCGTGATATTTTGTGCACGCTAATAATACAATATTATTAAAAATCTGCTCGAATATTATAGGCACGAGAGAGATCGAGTGGATAAGACATTTGATTTGAATATCATGGTCCGCTGCAAAAGTGGTGCCGAGATATTCTCATAAAAATCACAATATCGATGTACCTGGGAAGTATGACTTAAATCCACGCGAGTCGAGTGTAAAATCGATAATATAGGTCGTAGGTCGTATGTGCGCGCGTATCCGTTTACTTTTGGTTATTAAAAGTTTGTGTGACACACCGCGTCGTACGGTGCACACACACAATATTATACATACGCGTACACTCGTATATATTATATTTACACACGGCGTGTACGCATCCATCACGAGACGCGTACAAACTTATTTCGCGACTTAATTATACTCGTCGTCGTCGTCGTTGTTATTAGTAGAACGCTCGGGCATTTCGAGGGGTTAAACCCCGCGGGAGAGAGAGCTCGTACGTCTGTTTAGGTGCAGTGCACATATACTCGTATATATAATAATAATATACGCAAGCAGACAGTGACGATTTTCGGGGCGACAGCTGTGCGGG